CGCTGACATTTTGGGAAATGTGCTTATTCACTTTCTTTCTTAGATAAGAAAACCAATACCAGTTTCATACCTCAAGTTATAGCAAGGAGAAGGTTTGCTTAGCTTAGCATTAACATTGAAAACTGGGGGAAGCAGCTTTTGTCCAAACATGAAAAAAAAAAACACACGCCATCAAAATGGCCGCCTGTATATCAGCAACCTGTTGTTTTTACAGCTTGGTTTTTGTATGGATAAAACAAACGAGATATAACGTGTAAATTAGTGAGCTTTAGAGCTGCTGGTAGATGGATTTTGGAGAGAGCTAGGCTAGCTGTTTCCTGTTTCCCAAAATATCCAAATATTCTTTTAATATATTTGTATGTATAGTTGTTATATTTGGCAGACTTCAAATATAGTAATGCAAGTTTAATGGTACGGACTGGCATTCATCAACTCATTTAATTTCACATATTGACAATACAATGTGTGTAGCCTATATCTGTGTGTGGTCTAGCGAATTAGCCCACGGATTAGTGACAGTGATGATTATAGTTGCCTACCAGTAAGAACCTTGTGAAAACACACACACACACACACACACACACACAGCACAAAAACACATAGTATATACTCTATACATACAATTTACCAAATATATTTTTAAAGACAGAGAGAAAATGGGAATTAGCTTTTTGTCACTAGCCGGACTAATTGCCGTTGGGTAGCCATGTTTTGTTTTGCTACGTTGCTTTATCCTGTTATCTTCCCTACAAAATAATGACTCATATAGTAAAAAGAGCAGCTGACTTCATGCTAGCAGCTTTTTATTCGTCACTAACAGCTATTTTCAGCTGTCAGCTATTGTATTTAACAGCAGACTAGACACTAGCTTTGTACATGTTGGTTAGGCCTCGGTTAGCCAGTCACCAACCATGTTTGTGCGTGTGTGGATGTATGTGCGTATCTGTGTTGGTCGGTCTGTTGGTTAGTCAGCCAGTCTGTGTGTGTGTGTGTGTGTGTGTGTGTGTGCGCGTGGTCAGTCAGTGAAGGTAGGATTAGCTTGGTCCCATGACATAACCGGGCTAAGAGGATTGTTAGCCAGCCAAACAGCTCCTCCTCCTCCTCCCTCTTCTCTTCCTCTCACCTCGCTCACTCCTTCACAGTCGTCTTGAGGTATCCTTCTTTCTTCGACCTCTACCTTTTTACGCTCGGTTTCCGAGAAAAAACAAAGAGTTTGAGGCAAGACAGCAGCGTGGGGGTGAGTTCTGGGAAATGTGTTTCTTCTCTGTGGGTGTGTGCGTATGAGTGTGTGAATGTACAAGTGGCCGTGTTTTTTGTGAAGCTCAAACAAAAAAGTGTGTGTTTGCTTTACACTTTCTACCCACCTTAGACTTTCTTTTGCCTTCTCCTCACATCAGCTTGTCATACATAATAGAACAACTGAGGAACTGGGAAGAGGAGTAAATGTAGAGGTGACTTTGAAATGTGTTTTCTGTGTGTAAGTGTGCTTTACTTTCTTTCCCCTTTAAGTTGTTCTCTGACTTTGTTCATGATCTCAACTACACACACTCACACACACACACACACACACACAGAGAGAAACTGCCTGACAAGCAGTTCAGGGTGGGACTGCTGGCCATGTGTCTCTCTGTGTCAGTGTGTGTTTACAGTCAGTGCGGTTTACGTCTGGTGAAAGCTGGATGCCGTGTGCAGGCAAGGTGTGGCTTCTTTTGGCCATGTGTGTTTGGCCTTGACAGTGTTATTTTGTTTATGTGTGTGTGTGTGTGTGTGTGTGTGTGTTTGTGTAGGTGTGTGTGTGTATGTGTATGTATGCTAGGGATGTAAATGCATGACTTCAAGTCGGGGTGTGACTCTGGGCTCTATATAATCATTTCCAAAAAGCTCTCTCACACCCGCGCACACACAGACACACCCACCAGACGATGTTTCTCCCCACAGAATGATGTAAACATGACAGTGCTGACAGTTGTGTGTGTGTGAGGGAGAGAGAATGAGAATTTGTTTTTAGTCTACAGCAGTTTTGGGGTTTGTTATTCATCCCTCGTCTCACTGCTAATGTCATTACTCACTGCAGCTAAATCTATTTTCGATATTACTTCAACGACTCTGCAAAAAAAATCAGGATAAGTCAGCCTCCCCTCAGGAAACAAGACTTTTTATTTCACTTTTTTACATTTTTACACACTAGCACCCAGGCTCAGTGTTGGTCATTAAAATTGGAATTTCCCCATTGTGGGACTATTAAAGGAATATCTTATCTTATCTTATCTTATCTTATTAAGTCCCCTATTAATGAAATATCTTGACAAAAACACAGGCATTCATAGTCCTTAGAGGATGAATCCTACCTATTTTGGTCATTATGTTTAAATGTTTAACAGCGTATATTTACTGTAACATTATGGAAGAATTTCACATATTGCGCAGGCCTGTCAAACGTCACTCCAATCCCGACATTCCCTCCTTCCCCTCCCCAAGACCGCGTTCCTATAAACCTCTCCCCTAGCCTCAGACCGACCACGGGGACGGTCACACATTTTGAGTTAACATGCCTGCACACACACACACACACACACACACACACACACACACACATAACTGAGCACACACACATAACTGAGTCTGTTGATCCTACTGTGTGAAACTCTACCCCATCCAGCTGTGTGTGCGAGCAACTGCTGAGGGATATATTAAGAAGTCAGGTGTGTCTTTGTGTATGTGTTTGTGTGCTCATGTCAGGGGTTGTGTTGACCTAGATTAAGATGAATATTTTCACTGTGTATCATCACTAGAAAGCCCTCTTGTGGGTTTTATGATATTCTGGGTTCAGGGACGTCGGCAGACTTGAATCACTAGATGTGACGCGACTATAAATACCACATATATTATTCAGACATCCAGAACATCCAAATAGAAAGCGTTACATTTCTGGCAACAAGTTTTTGGGAACTATGGATGTAGAGTTGGAGGAAAAATGCAGGAGGTTTCAAAGAGATTCTCCATTTCTCAGATTTGTTAATATCCCATCCTGTAGTTGTAGGAAAGCCTCTGTTTGGGTGAAATCTTGTGTGTTTTTTGCTCCTAAATTCCCACTAAAGGTGTTCAAGTGCACTGTCAGGACCGCATGGCTGTTGATGGACAAGCTGTCTGTGGTCGGCGGTTCAAAGATGTGACCTTTCAGCTACAGGACGCTCTCTGTAACCAGCAGGCCACCCTGCTGTGTGAATGTTCCACGCTGGAGCAGTTCTGATAACACACATTTCCCCGTCAGCCCGGTCGGGTCTGCAGGAATGTCTGGAGGCTGTTGTTGTAGATTAGGAGGAATATTTTTACTGGAGGCGTACAGCAGATGGGACGGGGATGGGTTTCATTACTGGTGGGACCTGTGATCAGAACAACATGTCTGTGTGTGCCTAGCGTATGTGTGCATAACTCTGAGAACATATACTCTGTTGGGAAACGTAATACTCACACTGAGAAGGTCAAATATTCCCATGTGCTTCAGATTAACTGATCGCAACGTATGTGAAAAGTGCGGCAAAGCCCAGCGAGCAGCAGCAGCATCGGGGGGTTGTAGTGACCATTACAATGATATTATTGTCAATGGTTGTTAGCAAAATGCCTTGACATGAGTTGAACATCTATTTCTTTTTCCACCCAGTACAGGTTTCAGGTTTGAATAAAAGTAGAATAGTCAAAGTTCAGTTGTCTATGATATCCTTGAGTAAACCCTAACGGTAAAACATTTTTCTCTGGACTGGCATCAATCCCACTGAGATACAGAACAAACAGTGTGGGGAGAGTTTTCTGATCTGAGGGCACTGAGAATTTGCAGCTGAAAATCCTGTAAGCAGCTCTACCAGTGTTGCCAGATTTGATTCCAACAAATAACCCAATCGGAGCCTTGAACATGCCCCAGTTGTCATAAAAGTAGGCCAGTTTTTGTGCTTCGGATCGCAGAGGAGCTTCTTTGTCTTTAGTTTTTTTCTTTGTAAATGAGGTATGGTGATATTTTGTTTAAAAAAACACAAATATGTAACACGTTTGTAACAACTATGCCTGCATCTACACAACATACTTATGGTCATTACAGCCACCCAACTCAGTGTCCTGTCTATCTCTTCTTCTTGTTCCTGTTGTGGCAGACTGGACACAGTGTCAGCGTCCCTGTCAATCACTGTACTAATTGGAGGAGAGGAGGGAAAACTGAAAAAAAATAGCCTAAATGACCAGAACCATTTTCATCTACCCAATCAAATAAAAAGGAGTACAAATGGGTGGAAAATTGTCAAATCTGGCAACAACCAGCACTATTAATGAAAGTAATGTTTCACGCGTCTGCAGTCTTGATAAAATTGTTCATGTCCAGATTTTGAAAGTAGATGAAGCTGATTTGAATCAAAAGGTTTTCTGGAATCCCGATTGTAACACATCCATACATTGTAACAGTGAACATACATTGTGCAAAGTCATCACTCAGATGTCAACATGGAGCCAGTGATGTGCAGGGAACGGAGTGATGATCCATCATGGCCCATAAAATGAGAAGAACGATTATTAAAGAGATTATAGTTCCTGCAAGATTTGTGTGTTCCCCCTTTAATAGTTCATATCTGTAGTTGTAATGAAAATGGATGTGCTTTGGCAGTGTAAATGCTTTTAGGTGCCTGGAAAGTTGATTTGTTGAAACATATCAGCTTCAGCCTACAAAAACTACTGAATATTAATGAAACCGTCATCGAAGTTCAATACTACTACTACTACTACTAATAATAATAATAATAAGAAGAAGAAGAAGAATAATAATAATAATAGTTATATTAATTATTAAAACACAATGAATCACTTTTATTGGAGCTGGCATTTGATGTGTACAAATGTCCAACCAACACACAAAGCCCACTCACACCCACAGTAGCACTGGCAGAAACTCTGCTTTCATCACTGGATGTGTGTGTCTGTGGTGGTGTGTTCCTTCTTTATCTGAGTGAGGACGATGTGTGTCTGTTTCACAGAAGTGAAAAGAGAAAATGTGTGCGCGCAGTTAAGTCACATGCTCACTGTGTGTTGTTTAGCAGAGAGTGAAACAGGAGAGAAAGAGGAGGAAATATTGACGCAGCGGAGTCAGCTGTTACTCCGTGTGTGTGTGCGGGAAACATACATGTCGTGCCGCACGTTTGGTCTGGCCCAGGGAATGTGTGCCACAGATCGCCGCTTGCACGGCTGGCCCGGCCATTAACTGAGAGCATCATCATTGTAATTCCATCTCTTCCTCACAACACACATCTGGAGGGCGAAGGCTGGGCATTGAGAGCGCTAGTGCCCCCATCAGGATGCTGGTGCAGTGATTTCCCTTCTGAGAGAAAGTGGGGGGAGAAAAGAAAGCAGGGAGGCGAGGGAGAGGAAGAGGAGAGAGAGGGAGAGGATGGAGGAGAGAGGGATTGTCGCTGCAGCAAAAAGCCAAGCTGCAGAGGGATGACAGGATTGAGAGAAAGGGAGAGATGAAAGGACTGCAGATATAGAAAGAGATCAAGGCATGAGAGCGTTTGTTGAGAAGAGCACAGCTGCTGATTTATAGAAAGATGGAAGGATAGGAGAAAAAGAGGAAAGGGTATAAAACAGGGGATGTGAGGGGCGATGATTTCCTCTTGGTCTCTTTGCACGGTTTATAGCTTTACCATGTTTTGTTTACTTCAGTAACTTGAAGTATTGTTCACATTAATGGGCTTTTACACGTCATATTTGAGAACACACCAGTGCAGAGGGAGAGTTTGTATTGAGAGAGAGAGGAGAGAGAGCAGAGAGTACGTTGGGGGCCGGAGGGGAAGCGTTGGGCCGAGCGAGCGAGAGGAGGTAGAAGCGGGGAGGAGGGGTGCCGTAAATCACAGCACATCACCGGGCGACGACAGGAAAGTTTTGATAAGGGATTCGCTCTTCGGTCCCCAACACACACCACACACACCCTCCCTCGAGCTTTTCTTCCAAGCCTCTGGCAAACATTTTTTCTAGCCGACACCATAAAAGGTCTGCCGTTTCTCTGAGGGGCTGTGAGGATGGAGTGGAATGAGGTGGATTTGGTGCAGGAATTTACTGTTGAAGGACAATGCAGCAAAATTAAAGTCCGCTCCTGCAGGATCACATGGGACAGCCTGCAGGTAAGTTACAGCACAGCGGGATGCTGAGAGAAACTGCATGTTGATGTCAGCTGGGGGCTCGCGGCGGTGCAGTCTGCAGGATGTTGTACACAGTGTTAACAGCATGAGCAGCAGAATGCATGACACCGGTGTTAAGTGTCGGGCGAACTGTTAACTTTTCAGTGGCTGTAGGATGCATGCCATCATTAGAAAGATAGACCTGGCAGTTCCTAGAGGATGTAAACTTCATGGACAGATAATCCCAGGACAGCAGAGGCACACTACTGGTCGCAGATCTTTAATCCATCCGATGACAAGCTTTCACATTAAGGAGTTTAAACCGAGCAAGTGAGCAAGATTGTTGAGGGTGTTTTCGATGCAAATAGTGTTACATATTGTGTCTGCTTTACAAAACCACGGTTGATGACCAAGCTTTTTGCCGGCTGTCTGTAAAATGTAGTTTTAAAAGCTCCAAGAATCAATGATTTGTTACTAGGTGGAGGGTTTACTCACCTTTTTAATACATATTCAGAATGCAACTATATGGAAGCAAAAAGGTGTCAAGATTTAAATTTTGCAAGCAACTCAGACCTAGATTAGTTTAAGATTAAAATGACACCCAAATTCATGAATTCACATTTATGTAGTCTGAAATTCCCTCCTTGAATATTTCACAAGATAGAAGTTGCTTCTATTTCGAATGGTGAAATTCAGACACCAAAATTCAATATGTGCATAAAATGTATCTAGCGATGATTGGTCGAACCTCTGTCCGTCTCTCAGGTTACGTTCTGTCAGTTGTGTCTTCAAAGAAAGAGAAGTTCAGACTACAGACAGCGTGGGACCAGCGTGCATTAGCAGGAGATCAGTTTGTATCTGCAGACTCTTCATAATGCACATCAAAATGAGGATCTGCAGAATCCCACCAGTCAGCAGTTAGCTAATGACATGTGGCACCGCTGACTGGAAAACCAGTGTAATGTGCATAATGTCATCGTCTAAAACATGATGTCGTCTGCATTATGTTGAAATACTGTTTGTGCATTATGTTTTTAAGTAAGTCAGCCTGAAGGCAGTGAGTCAGTCATTCATCACTAATATTGATATTTAGGGTAATGCTGCCAGAGTTAAAGCTTCCACTCTCTGAGTCATTAAATGGTCAGTGGGTTTGATTTATTTCACTGATTTCATATCTAAGATTTGCCCTGGCCTCAGGGCTCAGTTCAGGGTAATGGAGTTTTTCATCAGTTCCTCCCTGAGTCATGGCATTAAAGCTTCCACTGAGATGTAGTATTTATCCATAGTGACTGAAGGCTCCAATCCCACTTTTAGTTTTGAATGACGTCCCTGTTGTTGCTGTTGTGATGTTGTTCAAGCCTTTAAATCCCAATAACTACAGGCCTCAAATATCTCTATCTTCCATCTTCAACTGAGAGCACTGCTCATTACAGACAGTTGAAGTAAACAAGTTAATCAAAAGTCCTGTTAACTGACCCTTGTTAACTCCTGTCTCCTATCTCTGGGTATCCATGTACACCACAGAACAGTGAATTGAACTGGTAAAACTTGCTGCCATCACAACAACTCTGGGGTCCCCCAGGGTGTCACTTTAGGCCCCTTCCTTTTTCTGTTTGCTACTTTAGCTGTTTGTGTATTGACTCAGTATGTATATGTTTTGATCCTATACTTTGTGGTTATGTTGTATTGGACTAAATTATTTTAAAAGCTGTCCCTAATGTTTCCTCATCCTCATTTATGTATAAAGAGGTGCACAAACACCCTATATCATAGGTAATCTAATACAACAACAAACAGTAGCAAAATACGGGTATTTGTGCTACTGGCTTTATGACTGTTTGCTTTGGCACTATTTGACAGCTAAACACATGTTTTGATATATATATATGAAAAGATTACTGTCTGTGATGGACATTCCCATCTTGATATCCATATTTTTATTTATTTACATAGTTTTAATGGTTAATGCAAGATTATCAAGGTGTTTACAGTAAGACAGTTGCATTATCTGTCTACAACAGTTTGTACAGTGTCGGGCTTAAAATATTCATAACAATAATAATCATTAGTCTCATAATGACTCATAAAGTGGCAGATAATTTTACTCTGGGTGGCATTCATTAATCAGTGTATAATCACTTTGGATTAACAGCTAAATGAAACTGTAAGCAAACTGTTCGAGGTCTTTTGGCAGTGTACTTGTATGTTTTAATCCCAGGGAGAAAATACATTTTCACAGCATTGGTCCCAGGCGTGTTTAAGAAGGCCTGGAATGTGGTGCATTAACACATGCGATTAGCTATACTGATAATGTTACATCATACTGAGTCATTCATACGTTTTTGCTGACAGGCAAAGATCTGCTTTGTGAGGCGATACTTGATATTCTACTATTGTATTGTATTCCACTCTACATTATAGCTTAATTTGATGCAGTGCAGAGCTGCATGGTGCTGAAACTTTCCTACAATATGTTTTATGGTCTTGTAACTATATAGTCACATAATCTAGAAAGTAGCATGTGTTCACATAATCAATTATATACCATTTACAATCTGTACAGTTAAACAGAGAGTTGATTTCACTGTTTTTGCATTGCATTGTCTGGCTTCTCTGCATGCTGAAAATCAGTGTAACTGACCAGGTGCAGTGTGCGTGTTGATCGTCCATGAATGAACACACACAATAGCAGGATGTGGCTGGGCAGAAACCTTCCTCTGTTGTCTGCTAAAGGCATTTCTCTCCCCCCAACCCACACACACACATTTCTGCGTACATTCATAGAAATGTTTGTTCTGAAGAACATCCGCAGCTACATAACGAGCTGTTCTGGTGTGTGCCCGGGTCAATGACAGTAAAATACAGGACAAATGAACAGTGTGATTAGATTCTATCCAGCTGATTTTGATGTCTGTGTCACTGTCCTGCAATGACCAGAGCAGATAGGATTCCGGCTATTTTCCACAAACCAATACAATCATTCTGTCACTCTGCCAAGGCCACCAGCTGCGAGCCTAATAACATTTCTGTAGCACACTGAAGGTGCTCTATGACCTAAAGTGTGAGGTGAGATGTGTGTGCAGCTGTGCACTGTAGCCTAGCATTTATCTCCTGTCACTGTTTGGGTTTTATCTTGTCAGTAAGAGTCCTAAACTCAGTCATGTGTGATGGATGGAAACAGTGATTAGAGATACGGGGGGGGACACAAGCTTTTACCATGGACATGCTGTATTAATATATGCAACCTTTTGTGTGTGTTCTCGTGTGTGTGTAGGTTCCCCGTGTGGAGCTGACCCTCTCTGAGCTCCAGGAAATGGCCACAAGACAACAGCAACAAATAGAGGCTCAGCAACAGATGTTGGTCGCCAAGGTAACTTGTGCGCGCACACACACACACAGCTGTTGGATGGATTGCCTGTCAGTAAGTGTAAGGTTATCTACATTAGACTCTGTCTGAAAAGGTCGGCTTTGAGGCCCCAGAAGCTATGGCCTTGGAGGAATCTGTGTGTGTGTGTGTGTGTGTGTGTGTGTGTGTGTTACCACTCATCAATCGATGTCAGTATCTAGTGGCCATGAAGTGGTTTGTTGTGGTGTGAACTGGTTTAAGTGTTCAGAGAGGAGGCCTCTTTAAAGCAGGGTGGTCTCTCTCTCTCTCTCTCNNGTGTGTGTGTGTTTGTGTGTAAGGATCAGGGCTCATACGTCCTCCTTGGAAACAGGACATGTGATCCAGGTCAGGGTTTAAGGACTGGCAGGAAAGCACAACTCCAACTTTGAGCCAGAAGACCACCATTCACCTCCAGGTTTTGTGTGTGAGAGGTCATGGTTATCATGGTTATTCCCACATTAGGAAGTGAACTTTGAGTTGACAGGAAATGAGGTCATCAGGGATCTGCTGGGAAGCTGAAGCAGAATTGTACTCCAGGAAAGGGTCAGAAAGGCAGGCCAAAACAAATTTCATTTGTTAAAGTCTCTCAATTCAAATGTCAGTTTAGTGTAAAGTGAATAAAAGTGCCTTCAGCAGGGAACTTTTTTCAACCACAAACTTTGATGCAGCCAATGGGTTTTTCAAGGCCCACTGTGGCACAGATCTTTTTATCTGGCAACTTTATGCTGATATTCAGCATTTTTAAAAGCAGCAATTTCCCTGCTAAATGACAGCCATTAAGTGTTTCCTTCCAGTGTGTAAGTGCTGAAGTATTCCCTTTTCTTGCACTTTCCATCCTCTTAACATTAACAAAATACAACAAGGATTGATGACTTCAAGGAAAGAAAAAAAAAAAAAGTTCCAAAATCACAGCTACTGGTGCCTCCTACTACATTTACATGCACTTGCACAGTCCATGTAACGAAACAAGCTATGTTATGTAATGTGTTATTAGCATGTGTGTGTGAGAATGTGTGTGTTACCAGGTGAATGGATGGAGGCTTCGTGCAACATTCACTTCGCCTTTTCATCTTGTGTTTGTGTGTTTGTTGTTGTGTTTGTGTTGTTGAGAGAAGACACACAGGTCAGCCGCTGTACTCACGTGCCAGCAACGATTACAAGAGAGGGTGTAAACTGATCAGTCAGCATCACAACAACAGGAACCTCACCTCTCTCTAATCTCTCTCTTCTCCCTCGTTTATTCATCCTCTCTGGGCTTTTTGTTTTACAATGTGTGTATAGATATATGCATGCAAAGAAAATAAAAATCTAGCAAATATATTATTAAATATGAGTTTTCAAATTTGGTGAAAGGGGGTGATGCATTATGCAAGTATGACATTTCCAGTGTGATATATGGAAGTCAAGGTGCTAATAAGGGCTCGCTGAGGCAATACAACCCTGCATGTAATAAAAATGTGTCTTTGACACCTCTCAGTTATTCTGTCATAACTGTATCACCTTAAATATCGCTGCTTCAGCCTGGTGTTAAATGTCTCATGGAGCATAATAGGAGTCAATATTTACCCTACTCTCATTAGCTGTGTTAAAGGCCCTGCATACCCACAGATGTTTTAATTTTCTGGCTAATTAGACCTCTAATCAGGTTGCAGGTGGGTGGAGCTATAATAGGAATGACGTCATGTCACGAAGGGCATGGAAAAGCACAGGTGAAACAAATATAGTTAACGAGGACTCTGTTCCATCAAGTGTCCCAGTAAGCTATAACAGTGAGCCAGCATGCACAATAGCAGGACCCTGAAATGGCACACCTAAAAAGGAATGCAGCCATTTTTAATACTATGTAACTGCAAGAAAGTTTCAAACACAGAAGGGACATAATTGGTCTTGCAGCTTATCTTTCATAAACTGGCACAAAATGAAATGTCAATCAGCTCATCGTCTCTAGAAGATAATGTCATTATTACAGTCACAGCGTGTGCTACGTGTGACTGAAATGTTTCTGTTCTCTTTATCAGCATCTTTATCAGTCAGTACAAAGAAATTCAAAATGACAACTTCATGAATGTGAAGCTCTTGAAACATAATCAACTTAAGTGTGTGTTCAAGAATCAGACCACACTGTGATAGACTGAATGCACTGGGCTAGACACTTTTCACACTTTTCACAGCAGAGTATGTCAGAGGAAAGGCATTTGTTGTTTTTCTGACTTACATGCTCTATTTAAAGTCTTAAAGATATTATTTATTGAGGATTTATTTACAAAAAATCAACATAAGCAAAACAGTGACAGAAGGACAAAAAAACACGCACATTTCTTATGTGAAATAATCAAAATGCTTCTAACTTAAACAGTAGATTTTGTGTTCATGTTGGATTCCATCGTTCCAGTGAGTAGTTGTTGAGCAGGTAGTGTAGCTTACAGGGGTCCAGTTTGTGCCAACTGAAATGAATCTAAAAATGAATCAAACCTCAAAATGTTAAATGTCTTCAACTTTTTTCCTTCTAGGAGCAGAGACTAAGGTATCTTCACCAGGGAGGCAGATCCAACCAGGGGCAGACACAGGTGAGGACCATATGTCTGTCTGTCTTCTGTCAGTCTTTTAAACATGTTATGTAAGGAACCAGAACATATTTAAGGTTGAAACCCTTTATGTACATTTGTATGTATTTGTATGTAATATATAATTTTGGGTGGTCACTCATGACACTTTTTTGCTGGGTAACCCAGAAGTTAGCTCCACCCAGGTTTACTGGTCAAACCCACTACAAGGACACTATAATCAATATCATCCACTAGCTTCCATCTGTTAAGTGAATGTTGAAAGTTGGGTATAGCAAGGTAACTTTAAAATATAGCCCCTTTATTCAACTAAAGTTATGGAAATGCAATTATTCATTTTTAATAAAATGTGTTTAGCTTGTCTCTTCTCTTCTCTCTTGTTTAGTCTGAGGCTGAGAAGCTGCAGCGGCTGAAGGAGCGAGTAGAGACTCAGGAAGCCAAGCTGAAGAAGATCCGAGCCATGAGAGGACAAGTCGACTACAGTAAACTGATCAACGGAAACCTCTGTAAGCCTGAACACACTAAGCACTGCAAAGATGATGACTGTGGATTACAGAAACTGCAGATTATGACTAAATAGTTAAATAATCCTGAAAAGTTAAAACTACAGCGTGAGGGAAGCCTGAGCCAAAATGTGACTGAAAATACATTCAATTTAAATGTCATGGTCACTGTGTCCTTTCCAAAAGTAGTTGGACTCAGAAGCTAATACATTACAATATCTGATATAGACCAGATGTCTTTGTCTCTTGTACATTTTGCTGTACGTGTATGATTATATTTCCCCACCCTCCCCTGGTTTGTGTCTCCAGCTGCAGAGATTGACCATGTTAGCAGCCTGTTTCAGGAGAAGCAGGCAGAACTGCAGTCTGCTGTGGTCCGAGTTGACCAGGTAACGTGGAGGGTTGAGCGAGGTTTCGTTGTGACAGTCAAAATCAAGCAAAACTGAGTTTGTGTCTGGTGAGTTCTCATTAAGTTTTATCCAAATGGTTTCACCAGTTGACCCAGCAGCTGGATGATTTGAGAAGAGGACGCCTTCAGCTACACTCTGTTGCACCAGCTCAGGGGGCACACACCGGGTCCCAGGGTGCACCCACAGGCCAGAAAGGATCACCCCTGTCTGGTCCTGCAGCCCTGGAACTGAGGAAGCTCTACCAGGAGCTGCAGGTAAATTACACCATCTCCTTCTTTCAGCAGGAGAGATGCAAATTAACATGTGCAAGTTCCTTTGGTCAGAAATAGTTTTCACAAAATTGAGTGTGTAAGACTTGAACTGCTGTGTGTTTCAGGCCCGTAACCGTCATAACCTGGAGCAGAGCAGCAAGTTGGCCCAGAATAAGGAGCTGCTGAACAAGAGGAACGCCCAGGTGACGGTGATGGATCAGCGCATCGGAGACCTGAGAGAACGACTGCATAAGAAGAGAGCAGAAGTACACAGCTTAACTCCTATCACAGATTTCATTTTTTTTAGATTTTCCATTTCTCATGACAGCTGGTTTAGAGTTAGCTTGACAGTTACTGTAGGTCTAATTCTGTTCGTCTGTCTTTGCACCCCTTTAGCTGAGTCGTATGAATGGAGGAGGCTTGTCCTCTCCTCAGACCCCTTCCCACCCAGCCGGCGGTGTTTCGGGTCGAGTAGCGGCTGTCTGTCCTTACATCCAGGTTCCGGCAGAGGGGAGACAGGAGGCGGGGTACCACCTGCCAGCTGACCCACCACCCAAACCCACACCGCTCAGCCACATCCGCTCCCTCTCAGGTTGGTGGACTTTTTTCGTTTTCTATTTGAAGTCGCTATACAGGACTTTGATCAGTTCATTTTCTGTCTTTTACTTCAGAGTTCTCGCTGTGCTGTTTTATGTCTGGGCTCTAACTTGCTGTCTATTTCCTTTTCCTGTCTGTTGGCTCCTTCTTTTCCTCTTCCCTTATCTGTTGTTGTTGATGTTACCTTAAATGTGATGTGTTATTGGTGGTTTTGTGGTCATCGTTTTGTCACTTGTTGATGTTGTGGTGATTGGTGACTGTCTTGTGACACCATTATGATGTCATCATGGTGATGTTCGTGTTGATGTTGTTTCGGTGGTTGTCACTGTCGTGGTTGCTGTCTTTCGTGGCGGGTGTGGCCATGCAGAGGAGGACAGGAGTGGCATCAGGAAGCCTCCCAGCCAATGGAAAGTGTCAGATTTAGACATCGTCCTGTCAGAGCCCACTGAGACGTGGGAGGGACCTCAGTCCCCTAAGGGGGGCGACAGTAACAACAGTGAGTCCTGATAAGATGCTAGAGAAGCTTACTCACCACTAGCTCCATTGGTGATAGATTAGCAGCACCTTCTTCTTCACTCCTTTATCTGCACCTTAAGGGTGATTTCAACATGATGTTTTATTGAGCCTTAATCTCAAGGTAGACATTTTCTTAGTTTGAATCCTGGGCTGAAAAATGTGCATTCAAACCAAGAATACGGAGGGTTTTTGTTTAACCATACAGAACAGATGGTCTGGAGAACATAATTGAATCAGCTACAGAAAATGACCTCAAAATGTAAAGGTCATATGTATAAGGTCACAGACATGATATCTGATAGCCACCAGCTGCTCAGGGTTAGGAAGCTCAGCATAAGAAAATAAACTGAGGGCAAACAGTCTGGAATGAGACTATTCAATTATTCCTTCGCGTCTCTCTACCTTTGTGTGAGAAGGTAATTTGCACACAAAAAAAAAATTTGCTGACGAATTTTCCTAATATCTGTCTCATAAATATATAAATTTTGAATGTGACACTATTATCTTAATTGTACCAAGTGCAGAAATGTGACAAGGATAAGAAGAAAAAAGAAGATCTAAAGAAACATAATTTCAAGTATGTTTGAGACCGAAGACAAAATGAGCAAAAGTTCAGCACACCCTGTATAATATTTCAGTGACTTAAAGGAATAGTTTGACATTTGGGGAAAAGCATTTATTTGTTTTCTTTCAGAAGAAGTTAGATGAGAAAATTGATACCACTTTCATTTTGTTACCTTTGGACAGAGCCAAGCTGGCTGATTCCCCTGGTTTCCAGTCTTTATGCTAAGCTAACCTTCACATGGCTGTAGCTTCATATTAACCTACAGACATGAGAGTGGTGTCAATCTTCTCATCTACATTTGGCAAGGGAGCAAATAAGTTTATTTCACAGAATCTTTAATCATGCCTTTAACAAGGCGTATTATTGAATCAAGTTAATGATCACACTAACTTAACTCACTAGTGTCAACATCCACCCACAGTTAGCATCAGCCTTGTCATCATAATATAACCATGTCTCATTAACCACTGGCCATGTTGGATCAGGCCACTCTCAGTGTGCAGTATGTCAGACACTTGCTTCTAGTAATCTATCAGTACACTCAGGCTGGAAGTAGCAAAACATGTTTCCTCACTTAGTTTTACTCCTGGGTATAAGTGAAGTGTCTTGGACCAGCGCTGGTACAAATCCCATTGTGTTCTTGAATGCCAAAGCAAATGCCACAGCTCTATTTATTGTAGCGGCTTATGTAATGTGGAAAAAACATTGTTAAATCATGTCAACAAATGAATGAAAGGAAGTCTGAGGAACGCTAACTTGTTGCTATATACAGTCTGCATACTGTGTGTGTGTGTGTGTGAGATATTATAGCGAGATATTTTAGGTAAGGGGAGGTATGGAGTCATGACAGCTGTTGTAGCTGTCATCAGAGAGATTAAGGCTCTTTAACAAATGCTAGCACTGACTATCTATTACACTGTGTGAATGCTTATAGTACAGTATAAGCATAGCAGTCATGGGTATTATCAGAGCAATCTAAAGGAAGGAATTCTATGCATTCCCAATAGCATTAGAATACAAGTGAATAATTTATTTATTCATTGTAAATCTTAAGGATTTGGTTCATATTCCACTGACTTAAATCGATATTTGTTACAAAGTGGTAACAGGACCCGACAGCCAGCTTGAAACAAAAGCTTTCTTTTTGAATGTCACACAGTTAATGATCAATAGGAAAGAAAAATCCTAATGCTTCTAATTGTCCTTTTACTAAAAATCAGACCAGGTCCAGTCAGTGGTGTCCCATCTAAATGTGCAGCTCGATTGATTACAGCACATAGTATTAAATGCAGTGTGATACATTTTTTAATATTCATTGATTGTGAAATAGGCTTTTTAGTCCTCCTGTCACGAGTTAGATGAGAGGATTGATACCACTTTCATGTCTGTAAGCTAAATATTAATCTACAGCAGCCAATTAGTTTAGCTTGGCATAAAATTGCAACTAACAATATCCACATGGCAGCACATCTGAAGCTCACTAATTAACACATTATATCTTGTTTGTTTAATATGTACAAAAAAATGAAGTGTAAAAGCAATTTGCCGTCTTACAGGGTTTATGTGCTGGATTATTTCTTGAAAACATTGCATGCTGCCAAGAAGATGCTTCAGTAGTGATGGTAGGCTTCTTAAAACCCTTAATCTGAACATGAGCCATCCTTTGTCTCTTACATCGGGGCGTGCACTGCGATGGTGCCAGTGCTGTAAACGGTACTGTCTTTCCCCGACAACACTGAGTAACTGGCTGCTTCTAATCTGGGCTCTCAGGCAGATGGCCAAGTTTCCACCTCGCCCAGGGCAGACTGTTTGTTTCCTGTCGTGACTGTTTTCTTCCTGAGGTCAGGAGGTTACAGCAGCAGCGGTTGCACAGCACAGCTCACTGACTGCAGGACTCCCAGGTTCAATAGTTAATCAGTATTAGTCTGCTAGGTGCCAAGCTGTGACGTGACTGTACCACAGAGAGCTAGGACGAATGGTTAGGTAACAGTTTAAAATGATACTTTGACAATGGATGCTGAATTGTAGACAACTCGGACATGGTAGTGGAATTTTAATGTCCCGCAATGGACTATTATTTTTAGCCAGGTGTGGCTTTAAGGATGGCAATTTCTGTCTGTCCTTAGTCGGTTTTTTGTAATAACTTATTTCCATGAGTTTTCTGGTACAATCATCAGGTCAAAATTTAATTTGTCCAATACTTTGTTTTATGACAAAACACCTGCAGAACCACGGACATTCCTCTCAGCCTTAGACTACTTTGTTTTCATTGCTAATTAGCAAATGTTGAACATGTTAAACATTACCATGTTAACATTGTCAATTCATTTTCTGCTCACACACAGACAAAGTAGACATTAAACATGTAGTCTGCCCAAAGCTTCAGAACAATTATGGCATCAGTCTTAAAAAGCCTACTAGCACCCTACTGTGGTATGTTAATTATTATTATTATGTTTCTTTATTCAAACTAACCACATTCACAAGGCTATTTCCTCTCAGCTAGTCTTTAGTTTATATTGCAGTAAAGTTAGGTTAAACTGCTGTGAAACTGTAAAGCATTAAGCTAGGACACTGACCTCCAGGATTGTCACTAGTTAATAGACAACAGTGGATCAGGATTTACTGACTGACCGGTACTCTGACCTTAGTGTTGCATTGAACTCTGCCAATTAGTTATGTAACACCACTTGTGCTACTTTGCATAACTAGCAGGCTTTCTTTTCTAAGAGCATTTCAGCAGTCAGTCAAGTCAGTTTTAAACCTTCAAGGCAGCACTGTTAACCAACAACTCGGTGTAATTATTCTGGTAAAAATAGCAGAACAGCACCCAAAAGTCAATTTTATGACTGCAATTGTCAGATACAGATGTTACCATGACAGCAACTTCACTACCCATAAAGTCTGCAACCAAGCTCGTGATCAGAGCTACTTCAGTCCCATAGCTGTTCTACTTACAGGATGCTAAACACATGTTTGCAGCGGAGAGTACACTATAATCACCAATCTGAAAATGTAGAGTAGTTGTTAAGCAATTCAGTGCGTTGTCTTGTTACATTACAGTATTTGCTTTGTTGAGGGGAAACAATTGAAAGCCACACACTGTTGGGTCAAATTAAAAATAACTAGATGACTTAGAGTCTGTTCCAAATATTGCATGATTATTATGTGGTCATAAATAATGGACCATGAATGGTGTCATGTACACAATCTGACCTGCACTATTTTTATATTCTACATGTATGGATAATAATATGTTTTTATTTTAGTCATTTGTTTTTGTTTTTTGCCCATGTATACTGGCATTGTTTCAATGGACTGACAAACTGTAAATGACAGCTAGTGTAATCCAGATCCCTTTAAACCTCTTCTCAGCATAACATAACAGACTTTCCTTACCAGCGTGCCTCCCGCTCTCTAACTCTATCTCACATTTTAACCCTCTTTAATACAGGGTACTTTTTCACTCATTCTCATTTGTGTTTGTGTCTTCCCCTCTTTAATGCTTTTTCTGTTGTAACCTTTGTCTCTTTCTCAACCCTTCAACCCCCCCCCCCCCCCCCCTCTCTCTCTCTCTGTGTTTAGCTAATGAAGCATCCTGGCCGAGCATCAGTAAGAGTGGGTCAGATTGGAGGACCAACAGTCCAGAACAGGTATTTTACTGTTTCCACACTAGACATGGGAATACCATTATAAAAGTTATCATTATAATATTAGCCGTTATCATACATTATGTAATAAATAATTTCTACCAAATTATATTATAGAGACATCCAAATATTCTTCATTTCGCTAAGGATCACCTTGAGGCCATTTTAACGCCCCTGGTTCCCACTTTGAAGACTAGTGCAGTAAATGACTGTTGAACTTTTCAACTTGAGAAATATCTCAGGAGAAAAATTAGGTTATGTAGTCAGGCTTTAGAAAAATCTCTCTCTTTTCATTTCAATGTCTCTTCCTCCCACCAGCATCCCACTGGTTATGGTACCTACCCCAGTGCCACCCACCAGGCTGCAGGGCATCAGTGTGCCACCAGCTCCCTGCCCCGTTCTGCCCCTGGTACACTGGGCTGGCCCCGATCCAGTCCTGTAAATGCCTCCTCTTCCTCTACATCATCTTCCTCTTCACAACAAATACAGCAACGGATCTCTGTCCCTCCAAATTCAAGTCAAGGTAATTTAAAGAGTAACTTTAAAGAGGCTGAGAAGCTGCATTTTCTGTTGAACTGAACGATGTGGGTGTAGCGTTCAGAAATTAAGCCAGTTCTATATTTCCCCTTGTCTGTTTCTACTGTTAGGCCCTGCCACCACCTCCCAACCCTCTCCCTTGTCCCCACAAACAGAGCGAACAGATCCCCCTCCAGCGGTGGCTGTGCGTCCCTACGTCCCAGATCACCCCTCCAGGCCCCAGTCCCCCAGGAAGGGCCCCGCCACCATGAACAGCAGCTCCATCTACAGCATGTACCTCCAGCACCCTCAGGCCAAAAACTATGGATCTCTCAGCAATAGGACTACTGTCAAAGCAGGTAATTAAACAGCGGATTAAAATAGATTTTTACAGGCTATAGATAGCGTATGTCTAATGTTCTTCCAATGTTCACAATGAAATCAATCATTGAAATCAATATAAGTACTATCTGTCCCATTTCCTTCCTTTCTCTCCATAGTCTACGGTAAACCCATCCTCCCCACCTCCTCCACCTCTCCGTCCCCTGTCCCTTTTCTCCAGGGAGGAGGAGGAGGAGTAAGAGCAGGAGTAGAGGATGTTACAGATAAAGATGTAGGCAAAGGAGGAGGTGAGAGCAGTGATGGGCAGATCCTCCCTCCACCCAGTGTGGACAACATCCCTCGTCCCCTCAGTCCCACTAAGCTCACCCCAGTCGGTAGGTACCAGAGAATATCTCATTCTAGTTCCACGTCTCCTGCCCAAAATAAATGATGACCTGGGAGCAGGAGCAACTTTTCAATAAACAAATAACAGAAGAAATGTGTACATAATTGTAACCATTAGAGAATCTCACTCTAACATCTTTTGATTTCTCACCTCTGCCCTCCACAGCCCATTCCCAGCTACGTTACCAGAGTGATGCTGACCTGGAAGTTCTCCGCCGACGCCTCAGCAATGCCCCACGACCCCTAAAGAAACGGAGCTCCATCACTGAGCCTGAGGGCCCACAGGGGCCAAACATCCAAAAACTACTATATCAGAGGTCTATACTATACTATACTATACTATACCCACCATTTGTAACAGAAAGTAAATATAAGGAATGAAGGTTGTAGCAGCTTAGTTAAAACTGATTTCTGTTGTGGTGTGCAGGTTCAACACGTTGGCCGGAGGCATGGAAGGAGGCTCAGGTAAGCCACTGTGATATAATGATATGGTCTCAGTTGGTCTTTATACTATTTCCCATTGATCTTAAGGGTTTGATGATGTTTCCTTTTTAAATCCAGGCAATACTTTCTACCAACCTGAGTGCATTTTGGGTGACATGGACAACATCCATTCTGCAAACGGGAATGTCGAACCTGGTGACAAGCACGTCAGTATGGCAACCGTGGAGGGCGAAGTTCAAAACCTGAACTCGGGCTCCCGCGGCTTGTCTCCTCCCTCTGTTGCCATAGAAACATCCAAAGAGATGACAGCTAAAGTGGAAACTATCAATAACGTGCCCCGATCAACCCAACCCAGCTCGTCCCCTGCACTCGATAGGCCGGAGGACCAGAACAATAACAACCAGAAAGGATCTAGTCCCGCACACAACTCTGTGGGCCATGCCTCCCCTTCTATATCACCTCCTGCACCACCTTCACTGCCTAAGGTAAACACAGATTCAAATTACACCTGATACGGGCTGCACACATTAAATCTAGGGTTTCTGTTAGCTAAAAAGGACACTAATACTATATTACCCTATACATTTGATGAACACTGCATCTCATTTTGTTAGCAAGTATTCTACTTTATTGATTCTCTTTAAAAATTTTTACTGCTAACCCAAACAAAGTAATTGTTCTGTGTGAAAGCTAATTTCCCAGATTAAGCAGTAAGTACTTCCCCAGCACTTCTTATTCTGCATTGTCGAGACTTGACTATTTCTCTCCCTGTGTGCTGCAGGTGAAGCGAACCAACCTGAAGAAGCCATCATCAGAGCGAACAGGCCACGGTCTGAGAGTAAAGTTTAACCCTCTAGCTCTGCTGCTGGACGCATCATTAGAGGGAGAGTTTGATCTGGTGCAGAGGATTATATATGAGGTAACACAAAATGATGTTGTTGTTACAGTATCGTATTATAATGCATTCTCATATTTCGAATTTGTAATGCTTATGAACTGTCTGCGGATTTAAAATCAAATCAAGCCAAGTTTATTTTCACAGCTCAATATTACAATGAGGCAAAGCACTGTACAAGCCTACGTTAGTAATGGTTCCCAACCAATCTTATGTTTTGCAAGAATACAAGGAAAACCACCCTCCAAAAATCCTATGGAGATGCAATTTAATACCCTCTCAGACATCTGGGAGTGTAATAGGTTTTATATCAATAATTTAGTCAGTATCAGTTTTAAACATCAATTCCAGTCCAAGGGCCAAGCCTGATGGTGTAGGGTAAAGAGTCATTAGATGGCATAGTTCAGGTTCAAGGTAAGGGTAGGCAGCCTGAAGATGGTGGTGGGCCAGCTTTTTCAAGCAGTCAGGATGAGGAACAACATTGAATCCTGAGTGGCTCATTATGTTTGATGGCAACATAGAACAGATGGTCGTCTGCGTAGAAGTACAAATCTATTCTGAAGCTGCATATTAGTTCACAGAAAAGTAGCATATAGTGAAAGGTATTGCACCCAGTAACAAGCCCTGAAGGACACCATACCTTACACAGAGAGGAAATACAAATTGTTATCAAAAAGCGAAATGTTCTATATTGTTTTTAAGATGATCTAGTTAAATATTATGATTAATAGTATTGAATGTTGTGCTTATGTCGAAGGAAATTAGAATTAAGGTTGCAACTTTACTCAGCTAACGGCTACTTTGATTAAGGCATTTTCAGTGTTGTGGTGTTCTCTAAACCCTGACCTAATACTAAAAGATAATGCAGCTATGTGAGATGTGTAGAATGTAGTGAAGTGAGTGTAATCTCACCATAGAATCTTTTGTTGAAGCCCTAAATCTTGGGCTGTCTGTTAAATAGAGCAGAACATCGTAGGACACAGTTTGGTTCTACCTCCAATTTGGTTACACTTGTCCAATGTTGTGCTTTTGATACATTTGTGTTGAATGAAAAAACAAATCTCCTAATGCAGTAGAGGGATATTCGTACATGCCAACAATTACTGTTCACCCACACACAGATTGCCTCAACAAATCTGCCAATAACTGGAGGATTTTCTAGCTTTTCAATACCTTCATGGCCAAACTTACTAAGTATAATATCTTTGATCTTCTGCAGCTCTGTCAGGGGAGAGGTGGTCTCAGTTGTCAGGTGTTAAAAATTGTTGTTGAGCACTCACGCTGTATTACAGTGTTTTACAGCAGTACAGAGCCACTGAGAAAAAAGCTTTAAATCTTTATCATTAAAGGTAAAACCCCATCTATCCCTGACAGCTTTCACTTGGAGATTGGACAAGCTTACTGGCTCTTCAGACTGCAAACTGCAGCTGATACTCTCAAGGAAACATTCAGATGCTTCACATCCAGAACAAGCTCAGTTTGACGTTATCATACCCTGAGGCAGTAATACTCAACAACTCAACACATTCCAAGCTGTTCAAAAAATGTTGCACTAACCCGAGTTTTGCAGTGAACTCAGGAATTTGGCACCTCTATACTGAAGTTAATGGTTTCTCAAAGCTGATACCAGTATAGATATTTGGGGATTTTTTCCCCCGTTGTTGCTGTGGAAAGCCAATCATTCTAATAAGCCTAATATGTATATTTTCTCATTATTCTAGGTGGAAAATCCCAGTATGCCTAATGATGAAGGCATAACACCTCTTCATAATGCTGTCTGCGCTGGTCATCACCATATTGTGAAGTTCCTGCTGGACTTTGGAGTTAATGTAAATGCAGCCGACAGTGACGGATGGTCAGTACCTTCAGTCAGTCATTCAATCATGTAATGGTCTAGACTAATAACAGATCAGTGGCTGTTGAAGGACTAGAGGGCAATCAACACACTGTGGCAGTGATAGTGCAGCTCAGCTCGGAGGCAACAATGACAGAGATAATTGCATTTCTAAATTCAGTTTTGACTCAACTGCCTTAGCAGTATTGAAGGGAGAGATTACCAAGTCTAATGAGGATCCGCATTCAGAAATTACATGATTTAATTTATTCATGTTTAGTTAATGTCAGCCTGTTTCATGATTAGACTGGTGATACAACTGCATTACTGGAACATCTTTGTCCACCTTATCAGAGGTGAATGAACCTTGTAGCAGAGAAATGTTTAAGTCCGTTTAATGTAATATTTTACTGTTTTCCCTCCCAGGACTCCTCTGCACTGTGCAGCTTCGTGTAACAGCGTCCACCTCTGTAAGATGCTGGTGGAGTCGGGGGCTGCCATTTTCGCCACAACGATTAGTGACGTCGAAACGGCGGCAGACAAATGTGAAGAAATGGAGGAGGGCTATACACAGTGCTCTCAGTTCCTCTATGGTAATTAGATAAAGAGAGACCGATTATGAGTCAATAAAACTGAACTCAACAGGTCTACTCCAGTCCAGAGTACTGTGTAGTAGTTTTTTCTCTAGCAAAGCCATAGTTGACGTTGTAGTTGTAGTAGTTGTAAATACTCTATTCCTCTCCCAGGCGTACAAGAAAAGTTGGGTGTGATGAACAAAGGCTTGCTCTACGCTCTCTGGGACTACACGGCCCAGCAGGCCGATGAGCTGTCCTTCAGCGAGGGTGACGCCCTCACCGTGCTGCGTCGGCGTGACGACACTGAGACAGAGTGGTGGTGGGCACGGCTTAACGACCGCGAGGGATACGTACCCAGAAACCTGCTGGGGGTGAGAGAACTCAAGATATTACAACAGACACCTTTCCATAAAGTCTGCGCACAGTGCCATTTAAACCTCAGGGAGTGCTGTATGTACACACTCCATAATGCTCAGAACCCAATTATTGTACTAGTAAAGCAGAACTATTTACAGTAGTTTTAATAAAACTGTCCATCACAGTTTCCCTTTACAGCTTCAACCTCTCAGCTGTAACTGTATTGTACACCACGTGGCCTCAGTGTAACTAATAATTAACATTTAAAGTAGGAAGTACATGTAAACTGTTTTTTTTCAGTGAATTAATTGTGTTTCATCAGCAGAAAAAAAGGCCTTCTTAAGTGGCAGACTAATTCCCACACAGTGTCTTACGGTCTGCCTTCATGATGTTCATGCACCTTGAGAACAATGTTAACATGATGTAGTGACCCTGCCCTCTCTCTCTCTCTCTCTCTCTCTCTGGCTGTTTCTCCAGCTATATCCAAGGATCAAACCCAGACAACGTTCACTGGCATGAAGCCCAGATCCCACTCGCAGAGGGCGCATGCACACGGAGAAGAAGAGGAGCAGCAGCAGCATGTGGGCGGAAGCATTAGCCGAGAAAGAAAGAACAAAGGATGGAGGGAGTCGGGAGGCTGAGTGAGGGAAGAAAGGAGATGGACAAAAGATGGAGTTCACAACTCTGATGAAGCAACTTTTTTCCCCGTTTGTTTGGATGTAATGCTGGAATCACAGAGCCACTTTATGATAGAATCATAATATATTTTCACTGAGTTGCTGCAGTTAGAAGAATCGCCTGAATTTTATTTTGAGCAACAGTCGCTTGGCAACTTTACATGAGTTCAGCTGCATGAGAGAAGCTGAATAGGAAAAAAAAGAAAATTATTCATCTTTTGGATGCAGCTTTGAGTTATTCCAGCTCAGAACATGAAAGCATGAGCTTGGAATTATAAGGCTCTCTCTGACACTTACCCAAATAATTCTTATAATGACACTTTATTTTTGTATGGTGTTAATTAAAATAAAAACCCATATAAAACCCTCATAAAAAAACAAGCTCATCAACAGCAAAAGGATGTGCTCTTCCTCAGTGTCGGTGAACATAGTATGCTGTCTGAAAACACCTTCCCACTGTGTGGTGTGAAGACTTAAATGCAGTAAATTTACAGGCTAGATCAGGTGAAAGTATGTGTGAGATGTGAAGTTGGAGAGAGGAAAGTGTGAAGAGAGAACAGATAGTGTAACTCTGAATGTGTGTTAAAGGAAGTCAGGTTTTGTCAGCGGTAGTCAGGAATAACGTCGGAAGTGCAACCACAAGACTAAGAAGCAGAATCCAGCCAGCTTTTAATGCATGGTGGCTGAGGTACACATCAAACCACTCAAGCAGTAGATGTTTACAATTTAATTTAATTTATGGCATGGTAAAAAAAAAAAAGTTTGAATTGATATCAGAAGAATATTTCGATTCTGATTTCCCAAAAGGATATAAGAAGCATCTGCGAATCATTGTGGATGTCTCGACCTTTTACTACTCTGTATTTATGTTGACTCAGCGCTGCATACTGTCATATCAACATCTGTTCAACTGCAAAATGGTTGCTGCTGGTAAAACAGGAGGAAAAGAAGGAAAAAAAGAATGTGAGAAGGGAATTTTTGAGACCAAAGCACCTAGAAAATGGGTTTAAAGTGAAGGAGGAGGAGGAGGA